CTCCCTTGCACAAGGAGGCAGTGAGGACCAATGAGGCAACGTATGTTAGTTACTAAAGAGTAAAAGTTCACCAAGTATTATGTAACATCATGAGCATCATCATCCTATAATCTTTTAGAAATAGCCTATTTATCCTCTCTGGGATACTTACTTTCCAGCTCCTGTCAAGACATCTCCCTCTCATTCAAATTTAGCTTCTTGTCTGAGGCAGTCATATTGACCAGGTGATGGATTGAATAACATACAGAGTAATCTCACATTTTATGTATCATCTGGTTTCCTATTACTGGAGCACAAGTGTGACCTTCAATTCAGTTCAGTCACTCAGTCGTGTCTACTCCTTGCGACCCCATGAACTGCAGCACGCCAGGCCTCCCTGTCCATCACCAACTCCTGGAGTTGACGCCGACTCATGTCCATTGAGTTGGTGATACCATCCAACCATATCATCCTCTGTCATCCCCTTCTCCTCCTGCCTTCACTCTTTCACAGCATCAGGGTCTTTTCAAATGAGTCAGCTCTTCACATCAGGTGGCCAAAGTATTGGGAGTTTCAGCTTCAACATCAGTTCTTCCAATGAACACCCAGGTCTGATCTCCTTTAGGATGGACTTGTTGGATCTCCTTGCAGTTGAAGGGACTCTGAAGAGTCTTCTCCAATACCACAGTTCAAAAGCATCAATTCTTTGGCACTCAGCTTTCTTTATAGTCCAACTCTCACATCCATACATGACCACTGGAAAAACCATAGCCTTGACTAGACAGACCTTTGTTGACAAAGTAATGTCTGCTTTTTAATGTGCTATTAAAAGTTATGACCATCTGGTCATAACTTCCCTTCCAAGGAGTAAGCATCTTTTAATTTCATGGCTGCCATCACCATTTGCAACAATTTTGGAGCTCCCAAAAATAAAATCTGTCACTGTTTCCACTGTTTCTCCATCTATTTGCCATGAAGTGATGGGACCGGATGCCATGATCTTAGTTTTCTGAATGTTGAGCTTTAAGCCAACTTTTTCACTCTCCTCTTTCACTTTCATCAAGAGGCTCTCTAGGTGTTCTTCACTTTCTGCCATAAGGGTGGTGTCATCTGCATATCTGAGCTTATTGATATTTTTCCCAGCAATCTTGATTCCAGCTTGTGCTTCATCCAGCCCAGCATTTCTCATGATGTACTGTGCATATAAGATAAATAACCAGAGTGACAATATACAGCCTTGACATATTCCTTTTCCTATTTGGAACCAGTCTGTTGTTCCATGTCTAGTTCTCACTGTTGCTTCCTGACCTGCATAAAGGTTTCTCAAGAGGCAGGTCAGGTGGTCTGGTATTCCCATCTCTTTCAGAATTTTCCACAGTTTATTGTGATCCACAAAGTCAAAGGCTTTGGCATAGTCAGTAAAGTAGAAATAGATGTTTTTCTGGAACTTTCTTGCTTTTTCGATGATCCAGCAGTTATTGGCAGTTTGATCTCTGATTCTTCTGCCTTTTCTAAGTCCAGTTTGAACATCTGGAAGTTCTCGGTTCACGTGTTGCTGAAGCCTGGCTTGGAGAATTTTGAGCATTACTTTACTAGCATATGAGATGAGTGCAATTGTGCAGCAGTTTGCACATTCTTTGGCATTGCCTTTCTTTGGGATTGGAATCAAAACTGACCTTTTCCAGTCCTGTGACCACTGCTGAGTTTTCCCAATTTGTTGGCATATTGAGTGCAGCACTTTCACAGCATCATCTTTTAGGATTTGAGATAGCTCAACTCGAATTCCATCACCTCCACTAGCTTTTTTCGTAGTGATGCTTCCTAAGGCCCACTTGACTTCACGTCCCAGGATGTCTGGCTCTAGGTGAGTGATCACACCATCATGATCATCTGGGTTGTGAAGATTTTTTGTATAGTTCTGTGTATTCTTGCCACCTCTTCTTAATATCTTCTGCTTCTATGAGGATCATACCATTTCTGTCCTTCATTGAGCCCATCTTTGCATGAAATGTTCCCTTGGTATCTCTAATTTTCTTGAAGAGATCTCTGGTCGTTCCCATTCTGTTGTTTTCCTCTATTTCTTTGCATTGATCGCTGAGGAAGGCTTTCTTATCTCCCCTTGCTATTCTTTGGAACTCGGCATTCAAATGGGTATATCTTTCCTTTTCTCCTTTGCTTTTCACTTCTCTTCTTTTCACAGCTATTTGTAAGGCCTCCTCAGACAGCCATTTTGTATTTTTGCATTTCTTTTTCTTGGGGATGGTCTTGATTCCTGCTTCCTGTACAATGTCATGAACCTCCATCCATAGTTCATCAGACACTCTGTCCATCAGATCTAGCCCCTTAAATCTATTTCTCACTTCCACTGTATAATCATAAGGGATTTGATTTAGGTCATACCTGAATGGCCTAGTGGTTTTCCCCACTTAGCCTTTATTTGAATCACACTGAAACCAGGTATTAATAGAATTATGCCTGTATGGGGTTCAGAGGTCCTGGGGCAGTCTGGAGGTTTATTATTGTTTTGTTTTCACTTTAACTCTATAGCTTATGTTAACAAACTAACTGAGTTCATTTTCATTAGTAGTTTAATTGTGTAAGTTGCCTTTAATTCTCTGCTAGTCTTTAATGTTAATTGTTTTTTTGTGCCTAGTCTTCTCATCTTGTATGCAGGCTGTATAGGTCCTTGTTATATTCATGATCTGACATAGGTTTTTTAAAAACACCTCACACTCTCTAGGTAGATGATAGTGTCCTAGATTTAAGATATTATTCTATTAGAAAGTTCCATGAAACATCTTTTTGTAATGGGTTTGTCTGATGATCAAATTATACCCTCTAAATCCATAGTGTTACATTATTTTAGGAGAATAAAGTTTGGGCTTATTTGTTCTCTTTCATAAGCCGTCTCTGATCCCTTTATTGAGTTGTGAGGAGTAGCAATGATAAAAGACCAACAACTGGGAAGACCCAGAGGGATCGGGCGGAGAGGGAGGTGGGAGGGGGGACCGGGATGGGGAATACATGTAAATCCATGGCTGATTCATTTCAATGTATGACAAAAACCACTGCAATGATGTAAAGTAATTAGCCTCCAACTAATAAAAATAAATGGAAAAAAAAAAAAGACCAACATTGAAAGCCTATGTCAGAAGATACTATGTCTATTTCATAATATTGGAGCTGTAGCCTGTTAATAATGATCGTATTGTATTAGGTAAGAATGGCTTATGCTTTTAATTGGTATTTAATTTCATTAAGATATGTTCAGAGTATTTTATAACAAATACTCTATTACTTTTATAAATGCCTCAAAAAGGATACTGTCTGTGATGGTTGTTGTAAAATTCATAGTTTTAGTTTTTAATATATATCTTTAGTGAACAGTTATTTCAGGAAAAAATATCAATCTGCTAAAATCATTGACCTGGTTTATAAGTATAGGTTTTGAAATTTTTAAAGCTGAAGTGCAATCTGGTTGTCTCTCTTTACCTGTGTGTGAAATTTTTTTGTTGCTAGTGGTAACTGTAGAGAATTTTTTTCAGATAGCACCCTTTTAATAACAATGGTCTCCCCAAATATACTGTGGCATAGCTTTAAACATTATTAAGTCTGTCTTGGACTCCCCCTTCCTCTCTCTGAGTAAATGGAAGAAAAGTTTGGCAGGCTCCATGCTGTGCACTTGATTGATGTCCAGAACATCTGAAGGACTTTTGTGTCCTGCCCGCTCTCCATGAGTGCATAATGTGTGAATACTTAAAGAAGGTCAGCCCTTATCACATGTAATCTAGGCCTGAAGGCAGATCAGCAGTGACAGTCATATCCCGTAAGTAAGAACACAAATCATCCTCTACATGCTTTAGACAAGTTGTGGGATATTTTTTCTCTCTTTTTACCCCTTCCCACTCATGGGGGGACCTTGGCAGAGCCATGAAAGCAGAGAGAAGACGTGCTTGGAATAATGTGTCACTCCTGAGAGGGAGGAAGGGATTGTTTATTTGTCATGATGTGATGGTCTTTCACTGTGCAGCTGAAGGGAGCTTTGGGTTGTTAATGACTAGTGATGTGGAATGCTGCAAATTAGAATGGGGTGGGGAGGCAAGAGGCAGCCTGAAAGCTGCTGAAGTTGTGGCCTTTGTAAACCCCAGAGTCAGGAAAAAAGGTTTTTTGTTTATTTTTTCTCCGATAAGGGAATAAATTTTTATATTATTTTGTAAGTGCAAAGCTGAAAATCAGAATGACAAAATGCATTAGCCAGTACAATTCTGAACACATTTTTCTGTTATTTGCACAACTAGTATGAAAGTATGAAAACTTTTACTGCAAAACTCTGTGGCATGGTAGGTACTTAAAATGCTATAACTTCTAATAGGAACAAGGAAAGAACTGTTTTTTATGTGTCTGTGTGTTTTAACAGAAGTTTAAAAGTAAACATTCCAAACAATATTAGCAGAGATGTTCAAGTGTTAAAGAAAATAACACTCACCTTACTGTTCTCATGAAAACTAGTAAGGATATTGTTGCATTTTCTTATATAAAAAGGAAGAAAATATTTTTCATCTAATCTCAAAAATTTTACTAGTTTCTTTTGAAATGCAATCAGCTGCAAGAAGTAGTTGTGATCAGGTCATACGATGGAAACTGTGCAGACACCCCCTTCAAAGTCCAAGGCATTGCTTCCTATGCATGTAAGATAAAATGAAAAACCAAATTAGGAGCTATAGGGCCCTTCCTTCTCAGTGTCCCCCAGTTTGCTTTTCCAGCCCAGTTTCTCTGCTCTCAAGGCATATCCAGGATTTCATGTTCTCAGCAAACATTGCTCTTTTTCTTGCTCATAAATGTGTGTACTGTCTGTTCTCTTTGCTTGGAATCCCTCTGCCCTCCCTTCACCCAGTGAATTCCTACTTATCTTTGAAGACCTAGTTCAAATGCCTCTTCCCCATAAGTCCAATCCCACCCCCAGCCAGAATTAATCTTTGTTTATGCACTGTATTTGCCATGCTCCCTCGGCAGAGCCGGCCATGTCTGCAGTGCCTTGTCATGATTTGATTGTGTTTCTCTTCGCCCACTACAAGGTAGGCTTTGTCCTAAAGGCAGGTGTGGTGTAATGTTCCCGTACCCTATTCACTTGACATAGTCCCCACCTATAGTTTAAAAAACTGTGTCTGTATATAAAACCAGGAGATTTGGGGGACTTTTATGTGAATATAAGTCACAAGTTGAAATTTTTACAAAGTAGTCTCATGCTTTCAAACTGCTTCTTGTATTTCTTCAATTACATAATGATTTAATAAATGAGGTAAGTAAAATAATTAAATAAATATTTGCCTTTGTGAGTATAATATGAATTTTTAAAACTCAATTATCCTAAGATATATTATATATATGTATATATAATATCCTTGTTTTAGTGATCATATTATTTCTGACAGAAAGAATTTGGCAAATGTCATATTAAAGAACATTATTGTTAATAAGAATTTTTTTTTTGTCAAGAGGCAGGAGAGTGTGACAGTTGTCAGGAAGTTGACTATTTTCTGATCTCCTCCTATGTACTGGGCACTGTATTCAGTAATTTCTGTTCATTTACTTGTCTAATTGGTATAACAAGTTTAACAGGTACTGAGCAGATTATAGAACAGAGAGCTTAAATAATTTACCTAAGATTATACAGATGACACAAATAGGCTTTCTCTACAAGATGGATCCACAAACCTAGAGTGAGTGCATCTGTGTATGAATTCTACAGATGATGCGGAGTGATGACTTGTATTCATATTGGTAATACTAGCTGCAGTCTTTTTTCTTTCCTTGCCCCTCTCAGGTGTACAAATTCAATTTGATACCTTTCTTTCAGTATTCTTTCAGAGCTTCCTCTGAAGCCTCATTTGGTGTGTACTTTACAATGAGTAGGCTAAATCATATGCAAATGTGGGTTTTTTTTTTCCTTTGCTATGTCAAATTTCTGATCTGCATTACAAGAATTTTTAAAGATCTTTTGAGCCTGTTTGTTTGGAATGGAAGTATATGTTTTATAGAACATCTCCTGCATTGTTGGTACCTGAAAGAAAGGTGAAAGAGTTAGTTGCTCAGTCGTGTCTGACTCTTTGCGACCCCATAGACTATAGCCCACTGGGCTCCTCTGTCCATGGAATTCTCCAGGCAAGAATATTGGAGTGGGTTGTCATTTCCTCCTCTAAGGGATATTCCTGACCCAGGGATCGAAGCCGGGTCTCCTGTATTGCAGGCAGTTTCTTTACCATTTGAGCCATCAGGGAAACCTGGCATATGTTAAATAGTAAAGGCAAAATGGAGGGAATTAATAGGGCTACGTCTTGAATTTCTTTGTATAAGTAAAAAAAAAAAAAAAAGAAAGAAAGAAAGAAATCTGTATTGCCAAAAACTTTGACTAAGTGAAAAACTCTCCTCACACTTCTAATTTTCACTTCTGTTCACATGAGTGAGTGAGTGAGAATCTGAGTCAATCATGTCTGACTCTGTGTGACCTCATAGACTATAGCCTGCCAGGCACCTGTGTTCATGGAATTCTCCAGGCCAGAATACTGGAGTGGGTTGCCATTTCCTTCTCCAGGGGATCTTCCTGACCCAGGGATCAAACCCGGGTCTCCTGCATTGAGGGCAGATTCTTTACCATCTGAGCCACCAGTGAAAGTGAAAGTCGCTCAGTTGTGCCCGACTCTTTGCGACCCCATGGACTATATAGTCCATGGAATTCTCCAGGCCAGAATACTGGAGTGGGTAGCCTTTCCCTTCTCCAGGGGATCTTCCCAGCCCAGGGATCAAACCCAGGTCTCCTGCATTGCAGGAGGATTCTTTACCAGCTGAGCCACCAGGGAAGCCCTCTACTCACATAATTGGAGATTCAGGTTCAGACACTCATCCTATATTCTGAAATCTTAAACCTTTATAAAAATTCATTAAGCCAGTTCATGCTCAAAAGCCTGTCAGTTATTTATATGATATATAGCCTAAACTCTGTAACCTGAAGTTAAAGTCCTGCACAATCTGCTTGCACTCTGTCCAGCTTTCTTTTGAACCATTTACTATAGAAGCCATCTGTTCCAGTAAGATTTTTTTCGTTTCATGCTATTGCACAAATGAAATATTTAATCCTGCCTCTAATCCTTGCTCATATAGTTTCCTCTCTTTTCATCCCTTCTAAGTTCAATTCATATTTCAGCATGCAACTCTGCCTTCAATGTTGGCCCAGTCTAATCCATGCCTTACTCTGATTTTCCATCTTTATTTCATTTGAAGACACTTCACTTTAAAGTGACTACTGTTTTTCACTTTGTTCTCTATTACACATACACTACTTTTTCTATGGCACTCTGAACTTCTTGAGTGCGTTTACTTCAGCTGGCACATAGTCCATCAGAAATGACTGCTGGTATGTCTTGTTTTGAACTGAATTAGGATTTGGGGGAGAGAGCAGCTATTCTCTCTTTATGCTTTGTACCATTTGTGGATGCCCATATTGGGGAAATGTGAGCAGTGGGAACTGTCCCACATTTAGCCATTCACTCTTCATCCCAGAGCTCAAGGCTAGGTTCCAAATTGGCAGTGGAACCATGTTGTGATGTGGCACTGAGCCAAATGTAGAAAGTTTGGACAAGAGGTTCTATTTGCTTGATTTTGGTCTGCTCTTCACTCATGTGACCCCTTTGATCCTGATCACTCTTATTCATTTTAGTATGCCTCAGTCTCCCCAAAAGGAATATGGATAAATGATACTGAAAGATTACCTCATTTACCTCCCCAAGCTTCTATTTTCCTGAGAAGTAAGGTGTGTGGATTCTGTGAAATGCTTAATATGTAGTTTAAGCTTAGAATATTCCAAAATTGTCTATGTGGTTAAAAATATTGTATTTGTGTGAAATTCCATCTCATGAAACTGACCTGAGGATGTTGGATTGATAGTATTAATAGCGTTTGTTAAATCCTAACAAGCAGTTGTTCAGCTACTCTTAAGACGGAGAATAGATTTGAATGCCATCTACTAGGGTAGTGTTGGTAGTTGCTGGTGTGTGAGAGAAGTGGGGGTGTCTCTTAAGAAGGAGAAGATAGCAGAGATTTTTTTCCAAGAAAATGATTCTTAAAGTTTCAAGTAAACACATTCTAATGCCATCTTAGATATAAGCATTGAATTATGTCTCTGCTCTCATACTTATATATCCTTTATCATGCAAATGGATTAGATTTTACAACTACTTTTGTTTGTATCTGTCTATGGTAATATTGTTCTTTCTATAATACTGAAAATTTGTTTATATTTTTTGCTGTTCTTTAATTATCAACAGTTCCCAAAGTGAATCAGAGTCTTTTAAAATGTCCCTTAGTATCAAACAGGTCACTCAGAATATCATTAGAAAGTTGAAATATTACAAAATATTCATAGTTCTATTGAGGCACAATTATAATTAACATGTAAAACATTGAATAACTTATCTTGGTTTTATTCACATAATAAAGTAGGTTAGATTCACCGTGCTTTTTTTTTTTTGCTCTATAGAAAATTTTCAACTGTAGTCATATCAAATTAATTAATGAATGAATAGCTTAACTGAAATCTTTCAACTTGGACTGTTCATTAAAGATGCCTTTTATCTGTGACCCTTGTTTTGTATCCGTGCACTTGATTCAGAGGCATTTGCCTCATTATATAAATGTTGATGCAGTGAGAAAATGCCATAACATGACACTTTGATGTGTTGCGACATTTCTACATGTTATCAAAGAAAAATTTTTTATTTCTCCTTGTCTTTCTATGGTTCCCAAAGAGTTACCATTCATAGCAGAGGGAGAAAAAAAAAAAAGCAAAAACCCTTAACAGAAGAGACAAGCGGTATAGGTGGTGTCTGTCCGGAACGTCTCCACTGCTGCCCAGGAGGTGTGGGGACACCGGCACGGTCAGTCCGGAGCGAAGTCCGCCTGCGCCGGCCCCAGTGTGGACAGCTGGGTCAGGCTCCTTTCTTAAGAAAACAGCCCGGCCCGGGGGCCTGGCCGCCCTTGTTGTCCTCCCCACGAGGTGATCAGTGGAAGTCTCCGTGGTGACAGAACCAGTTTGTAACAGGCTTGTCTTTCACGGTCCCGTCTAGGGCTTGCTGGCAGGCTTGCCGGAAGCTCTGACAGGAGGGGCAGCACAGAAGCCTCCGGGAAAGGAGGGAAGGCGAGAAACGGAGGCTCTACCAGGCAGGTCCAGTGACTGCTCTCCCGCTGCAGTGGGGTGGCTGGACGCCCTCGACGGGCAGCGTCACATGTCCTTGCTCGTTCTTCTGTCTGTGCACACGAGGGGTAAGAAGACCAGTGCCCCGCAGTACAGTGCTCACAGGGGGCTCCGCGAACATCCGCTTTCCTGGGTTTTATCACAGAAAGGAAAGTTCAAGGCAGAAGTTCAAGGGCTTAACATTTCCAGCCCCCATCCTCCTCCTCCTCTGTAACCTTACTGCTTTCTCTATCAGGGCAATGCTTTGTAGAGAGGGTGTCAGAATAATTTTAACAGGGAGGCAAAGTTTCTGTTTTCTCTAACAATTAATTATGTGCAGTCTGGTTTGGAACTTTTGGGTATGAGGTTGATTGTCAACCTACTGTGACAGTTTATATGATGAATTTAAGAAAACAGTCTAATAAACTTTGTTTTGATCATTTAAATTTGAGTATTCTTAGGTTTTTTTTATAGTTAGCTAATTAACTTTGAAGTTCATTGTAATTTTTACATGGATGCATTGAGTAAATCTGTAGTTTTATAATGGCAATAATTGTAATTTGTGAATATGTCAGATGTTTACCCATATTTAAGAACAGGGGCTTTCTTAGTGATCATTTTGTTCAGAAGAATTATTCTTGTATAAAGTTGCCTAAAGGAGAAAAAACATGTTAAGTTATTTTAAAGAGCTAAAAGAGTAATTATGAAAGTAGGTGAACTATTTTCAAGTTAGAAGAAAGGTAACTTAAAATGAAACAATTATCTGTGATAGTGATTGGTAGTGAGGGAGTCACAAAGTTGTAATAGCCCTTTTGTAAAATTAAGCCAGGTGACAAAAAGAATATGTGTGAGGTCGAAATGCATTTATGGTTCAATCTCATATACCTGTGAATGCATTTAATAGAAGTATTTGGCAGTACTGTTTACTTGAGAAGCATGTATTACTAATTGGCATATATTTGGATTGACATAAGATTAATTTTTTTTAATCTTGTAGTGTTCCATAACAGTTATATAAGTGTTATATTTTGTTGCTTGGCTCCATAAAAAAATGCTTTTAATTTCTGGTTATGGATAGGTGTAATTCAAAAGAGTTTTGTATGTTGATATGAGGAAACAACATGTAGTTCATTTACTTGGTTTGCTAATTTATTTTCCAAAAATTCTTATAATCTGGTACCTTCTAGAAGAGACAGAAAGACCTCAGGGAAACTTTAAGAATGTCCCAGGAAACTCAAAGCATGATATATATGCGGTGAAAAATCTTATTCCAGTACTCATGCTACCAGTATTTCTTGATTGCCTAAGGGCAATTTTGCATTCCCTGTTTGTCATTTTCCCTGAAACCTATGAATGCATAAACTATTTATCGTTATGTCAGCCAAAAGTGAAGAGGCTAGATGTTACAGACTGAATCTTTGAATCATAAACATTAGGATTAGAATACACCTTACGATAGTATTGTGGTGTTGACTTTTCAGTGAGAAAGTTGAACCCCAGAGACATTCCCTGCTTTTCTCTGTGAAGCATAAACTTTTAAACTCCCTGTTTAGAGCTCTTTCACATGAGTGCCCGTGTGGGTCTGTGTGTGTCTACTAATTTATTTCGTAGCATAGTGGTTAAGAGTGTGAACTCTGGAGCCAGAATGCCTGGGTTTGAATCTTAGCTTTACCACTTACTAGATTGTAAACTAAATGAGGAGTCTTATTGGTGCCTTGATTTTCTCAACTGTGAAATGGGCATAATAATAATAACTAATCATAGGATTGATTTGATTACTAAATAATTAGTAAATACATACAAAGCACTTAGAGTAGTGATAGTGCATACTATTGTCTAAGAGTTTGCTATTATTAGTATCATTAGTAATAATGTTAATCTCCGTAGGAATAGGAGACAGCCAATCTGGAAATGGAAATTGAGACAAGACTTTAAAAGAATCCCATAGCTCATCTTACTGTTATTAACAGTAAGTGTGCTGTGCTTTGTCACTCCGTTGTATTTGACTCTTTGTGACTCCATGCCCTGGAGGCAACCAGTCTCTGTTCATGGGGATTCCCAGGCAAGAATACTGGAGTGGGTTGCCATGCCCTCCTCCAGGGAATCTTCCTAACCCAGGATCAAACCTAGGTCTCCTACATTGCAGGCAGATTCTTTACCTGCAGTGCAGATGGTGATTAACGTACTGAATCTCAGTTTTTATTCCTAGCTTTGTCACTAATGAAATTTTCACTGTTTTTGAAGAATCTCTCTACCTGTAACCTTGTGTAAAATAAGTTTCATTTTTTTTTTCTTGAAAAAATGTATTTTCCTGGATGAAAATAGAGTGTACCCTAGAGAGAGACTGTGAGCTCGACCACGACCAAGTAACTTTGACTACTGAAGTTAAATATTCATTAACAACTTGTAATGCTTTATGATCATTAATTAGCATGTACTTCAGAAAGAATAATCATCACTAAGACAGGTATATATGAAGCGCAAACCTGTGTAGTGGTCATGACTTATTAAGTGAATGACAAAGCCAAGATTAATGTTCTGAGACCTTAAATACTTATTTAAAGTAACTGTGTTTCAAAATGACAGCTTGAGACATTTGGAGAGTGTGTGCTTCAGCCTAATACGAACATTTAGTTATTTAAATATATGGAAATATAAACATTCTACATGGAAGGAATATGTCCATTATTCCAATTCTACCTTAAATGGTACAAAGCTCTGCAAAGTCATAGCAAGTGGAACAGAGTAGCTAGGTTGGTCTGTGTGTGGGGTGATTCATCAGCCTAAATCTTATCACTGCTTAAATCTTATCTTAAATGTTTTACTTGAGACATAGGCTTAGAAGAAAGGGACAAAAGGGTACATGTTGGTAGGTTTTGAACGTTGTGTTTTTTATATTGGCACATTGTGATTGCTTCAGGAATGTATTTTTTAAAACTCGAGATCATGAAATGTGGAACTGCCCCCTTCTAAAAGTGAAAAGATAACCTGTAATGGTGAAGAGCTGTATTGTTCATTTCTGCTTGAAATATAGTATTTTAGAGATTGATTTATTGATGCCACCCCGCCCCTTGTTTCTCAAATCACAGTAGAGAATTACAGGCAATCCTAATGAGCATAGTACAATGTGTAAACAGTGTTTAGGCATCATTTTGGTCACTACCATTCTTGTGAAGTTCTGCCAAAGGAATTTAGTGAGGTTATAAAGGTGGGACCTGAAAAGTAAAGGATGCTCTCTGTTTGTTCTGACACATTGGTGGCAACTGTGTGCCTTTCCTGACAAGGATGGGACTCATGCTCTGGCATTTTAGAAGGTGAGATGTTTATTTGGCTTCTTGTTAAATGTATATGTGAAAATTTTCACAGTGCCTGTGCCTCCCCATAAAATCATAGTAATAGATTATTACAACAATCAGATTGAAATAAAAATTGGTAGCCAACTTTTGGTCTTTAGGAGTAATTCTGTATCAATGAAGAGTTACTGGGAAAAAAGGCAAGATAGGAAGTAGGTATTAGCTCTTTTGGAATAGAGGAGAACCCCCAAACGCAATGAACAAAAGCAGGTTCCAGCCTCCGTGGCCCCTGCAGTTTTATATAACCAGGATTTTACATCCTGCTACATCATTGCCAGGTCGTATTTCGTACATTTCCTACTGTAATATTTGTGTTTGATCTGGTTGACACTAATTTAAAAATGTTAAAAAATAAAACCTATGCTATTAAATATTTTCAGTAGAATTAAGACAAATAGGAAATGCAGTAACAGGAGGATAACAAACATTGCTGTGAATGTGTAGTTTGAAAATTAAAATGGTAGTATTGCTGTAGGGCATCGATTTTTGGTAATATTTTTAAGTGAAAAATGATCCTTGTTGCCATATGGCACACTATAGTGAAAATCTGAACTGTTAGACCGACACATCTGTTAAATGCATAAACATGGGTCTGTGTTTAAAATGTTTTCTACTGCAGCTATTATGTGGCACTTCCAACAATTAACCTTGGGCTGTTAATCGGGAGTAACTGCACCTTGTGGTGAGCATCACAGATGTAAGAAATTTGATCTCTGTGGCAATTTACCTGGGAGAAAAGTGGCTAAATTATAGTTCTCAATTTAAATTCTGCAGAGTAGATTGGATTAAACACATTCACGTTACTGTTGAGTGAAAACTCAAATTATTTCATTTTATCTTTTGTTATGAGAAGTTATCTTCTGTAAATATATAGTGATGGCAACCATGTATTTAAGGCATATGTATCTCTCAACAGCTGTGCATACATAATTTTAACCTTTATATTACAAATACTTGAAAGCTTCTGAAAAAAATATTAATATTATAATAGATCAGAGTTCAGATTAGTTTTTTTTTTGTCTTTGTGAGCCAGTTAAATTTGAAATAAATTTTACAAATCTTTTATTGACTTAGAATAACTGCCAGGAACAAAGTTATGAATATGTTTTTTCTGCTAACTTTTCAAATGTATACTTCATTTTTAGAATTCAGGCAGGACATTAGGCAAATCTTTAAGTAAGACAATATACTGACAATTAAAATCAGCTAAATTGTCTATCAAGCTTTCTTATGCTACATTTTAGGTTCAGATGGACCCTTTTGGTCTTGATTATTATACTTTTTCCATCTGTAAAATAATGACTCCCCTCATCATAGATTTGTGTGTGTAAATATTCATATTAAAATACCTAAGGATGACCTTTTGACTATGGGCTCAGAATAACCTCATTCTTGTTTCTCGGCCCTGCAGACTTTTCACTTCATGCTAGAGGAGTGGCGGCTTTTGGATTAACTGATTTCTTGCTTGTTATCAGCTCTATCACACTCCTTCCATAACTAATTAGCTTCCATATTAGTTAATAATGTGTCTAAGATCACATTAGTAGTATTGATATTTGGGGCAAAAGAATAGAAACTCAAGTAGGGGAAGAAGTTGAATGGAGACCTAAAGAAAAACCAAAGGAAACACAAGCCTCATGGGACCCAGAGGGGCAATGGGACCTGAGTTTCTACTCATCCTCGTCTGTGAGGGACCCCATGGGCATTGTCTTCTTTCCTCTGTGTGTCTTTTCCCT